CTTGAGTGTTGGATAAAAATGTTACACCTTTGTTCTTCTTTTTAGACCTTCCATTTATAGAAACTTTAAAGGTTTGAATAGAATCAATGAGTTTATCTACCTTCAAGGTGTTTAAGTCTTGAGCTTCTTCAATTTTTTTCTACCTTCATGTCAAATTTCTGAGGGAAGGATATGTGAATCTTTCTAACTAGATTTTCTACAAACATCTTTTCTTCTAATGCAAAAGAATTGTTGGCTATGTCACGCAACTTGATGTTGAACTCAGATATGGATTCATCTTCCAATATTTTCAAATTCTCAAACTTAGTTGTGAGGAGCTGCAACCTTAACATCCTAACCTTTTATGTGCCTTCATGAGTAGTCTTGAAAATCTCCTAAGCTTTTTTGGCTACAATACAAGTGATTACATGTTCTTGTCCACACCATTCAATATAACATTCAAGGTTTTATCGTTTCCAAGACCTTCATCATCTTTAGCTTTGGACCAATCAGCTTCAGATTTTAAACTTGTTGAACCATCTTCAAAAGTGATTACATGATGTTTCCAACCTTTAACCACAACCTTCCAAGTTTTGCTGTCAATGGATTTGAGAAAGGAAATCATTTTTGCTTTCCAATAGTTATAATTTGTGTTATCCAACACAGGTGGCCAGTTGACTGCACCTCAATCCTTAGTTTTTTTTAATAGAAAATAACTTCTTGGAGCTCAACCAAACAAAATAGAATGAATGCTCTAATGCCAATGTATTGTCGATATTCCTTGTAGAGAGAATCTTAGATAGAATAATTCTGAATCAAACTGCAATATCATTTGCCTATTGTTAGAGACCATATGTTGCAGCGCACATGTTGAACATTTTGTTCAACATATGTCTCTTCTGCATCAGAATCAACTTGAACAACCTTTATGTTATTTTACATAATGCAGTCAATCCCAAAAGAGACCAATATTTACTTAAGACTCAAACCTTCAAAAATCAATCTTAAAATACTATATTTTAACTTCACATGCATTTGATTATGTAGGAACAAAATTAATTTTGAATAAATTTAACTATGTAAAATTGATTTAAATTAAATAAAATCATTTATGTTTAAATAGATTAGTGCAAAAATAATTTTAAAATAAGAGTAACATTTAAATTTAAAAAGTTACAAATCATAAATTCAATAAATCAATTATAAAAGAATAAATAATTCTATCTTAAAAAATTAAATATACTAAAATCAATTTAATATCAATTCTATATATTTAAAATTACTTTTAACTCTTCGTACACTTCATTTTCTTTTCTACATCATTGCATAATCCTATTAGCTCTTTCTTCTCCTTTATTTTTCCATGATGCAATCCTATATCTTTTTAACATACTGTATCTAAATGATAGTCAATGCATGAGTAATTATTAAATTCTTTAATGAAATAGTTAACCTACAAACTAGAGTATTTTGAAGCATAACAAGAATAGTAATAATGTAATTTTGTACATAAATGAGTTTCCTGAAAGTATACTTCACCCTTAAAAAGAAAAAACGAAAAGGTTTGGGTAAGCATTTTTAATGATGATGATAGTAACAGCCTTTATGGTCGTCCTTGGTCGGTCGACAATCTGTGTTGTATGTTCACTATGTTTTGCTTGTGTTTCCCATTCTCATCTCTCTTTTTTTCTCTCACACACAGATATTGTAATTGAAATGATCGATCTTAAACACAGACTTTTACTTCTAGTAATACTATTACTATACGGTTAATTAGGTTATACGCGTGCAAATCATAACATTTTCACATTTGAAGTAATATTATATATTGTGGTAATATGTGTAAAAAGATATTACTGTTTATGTAAATTTCATAAAGTTAAGCTTACATATAAATTAGGGAGCCATATTGGGTGATTTAGATGAAGACATATATAGAGATTAAAGTGATAAAAACTTGACTGATCCAACTGTCTCGATGAAAGAATATTAATTGAAATTTTATTTTGTAAAAGTTAAAATATCAAATATATAATAATTAGCAATGAATTTAAAAATGATACGTTTTTATTAAGAGTTTAATGGTGATACACTTATCTCTATTATGTTATATAATTAGTTAAAAGAATTTAGTCTAACTTGACGAAATACATGGTCGTCATTAGTTGATAGTGTAAATAAAATTTACAATATCACTTCTTTTTTCTTTCATTAAAATTTTGTTAATTATTTAAATAACAAATCAATAATGATATATTAAAAAGAAAAAAAATCAAGAGGAACTAAACTAAACATGATATAGAATAAAATCATCACATTAAGGATTTTTTTAGAGAACCACTTAGAGGAAAGAGATCCCGAACACCGGCAAAACAAAAGAGGGTAGTTTGCCACCCACCACACCCCTAAATACCAAGCCAAATGAATGGGTTTCGCTCCCAGTCAAACATGAATACATCAAAACTTGGAGCGTATGCATGAACACACTTCCACACAAATAGATAATCGACGACATCCAGTGATTGAGTGACAAACAATCTTGCTTGAAAATGATTTTATTCCGCATAATCTAAATAGACCAAACCATAGAATGTCATATCGAAATCAGGCATAAAGACATCAATTTTTCCTTCCCTAAACCCAACACCAGATCAAACGTCGATAAAATCAATTCTCACAAAGGATCCAACTTCCTCAACCATCTAAACACTATATAAAAGATGACAGAAGCAAACTGACAGGACGCAAAGAGGTGATCAGTCGACTCCTCATGCCCCCTACACATCGCACACACCGCAACACTACTCTTTAACACTATCTGACACCTCAAAAGATTGAGTCTAGTTAACATCCTATTTGAAGTAGCTGCTAGGAGAAGACAATGATTTTAAAGGGCGTCCAACACTTCCGCACCCTAGTAAGAGTGTTCACCACAGACTCAAACCTATCCTCCACCCACCCAGACAGAGAAACAAGAAAATCATAAGTCGATCTCATAAAAAAACTTACATAAAAGATCTGTCAAAATCCAATCATCCTTCTGCACTAAATCAAAAGAATGATATGACAATATTAATAATATATTTAAATTATTCTTTTCAGTTTAGACACCAAAAATCAGATTATAGTAAAATAAGATAATTTATTATATCTTGTCGCCCTATTCAATGCGTCAAACAAACCTTAAGAGTTGGTATGAATTTTAATCAATTAAAGGAAGAGCTTTAAAAATACGTGTTGTAAATATATTTATCAAAAAGATTAAATAAATTTACTAAATTATATATATATATATATATATATATATATATATATATATATATATATATATATATATATATATATATATATATATATATATATATATATATATATATATATATATATATATATATATATATATATATATATATATATATATATATATATATATATATATATAAAAGTAACCTCATATAACTTTAAGATATAAAAATTAGGTAAAATACAATTTTTTTTATCTCTTAACTATACTTTTAGGTTTAAATTATTCCCTTAATTATATTTTGTGGAGATTAGTCCCTTAACTTTTTAAAACGTGTTATGTTAATTATTTTCGTCTAATTAACGACGGAAAAATTCAAAATTTATTCGATAAATTCGTCGCTAATTAGACAAAAGGACTAACATAATACATTTTAAAGAATTAAGAGATCAATCTGACATAAAGAATAATTAAGAGACCAATCTAAACTCAAGAGTACAGTTAAGAGACAAAAAAAAGTATTTTGCCTAAAAATTAACATTTTATTACGTTTTATTATTGTTATAGTAATAATTATCAATCGAGTTTAAAGATAGTATAATATCACTGCAAAACAATATTACAATTACATTTAATAAAAAAAATTAAATTTGTTAAATTATATCAATTTTTAAAATTAAAAATGTGATTTAATGGGATACACACTTCTCATTAATTATCGGTGTAAAAATAGTTTTTTTAGTTCCTTTTCTCTATCACATTAAAATAAACATGTCATCATTTTATATAAAGTGTCATTATTTTTTAATAAAAAAACTTATTAAATTATATATAAAATTAAAATATTAATTTTTTAATTATAATTTCTTACTAATATTATATGATTTAGTTTTAAATTATTATTTTTGATTTTATATATATTAATTTAGAATCAACCAACTATTAGCACAATTAATTTTTAAAAACTTTCATTCATTTATAAAACATTTATGAAAATAAAATTACAATTAACCATTTTAATTTTCCTAATTATTGTAAAGAGGATACACAACAAAAAAATAAAATAAAATACATCCATATACACATGTTAGAATATACTAGAAAGACAAGATTGCCGTAAGAAGAAAGTAAAGTAAACTAGCATCACTCAAAGAGAGTCTATACATGTTTAGAGTGTGGTGGTGGCCAAAAGGCTGCAAAGACAAGTTTTAAGAACAAGAAAAATAAAACCAAAAAGAGAGCAACAAAGCACTAGGGTAAAAGAAAGTTTTTGTGTGTTGAATGTAAAAAGATATCACTAAGCACAAATGTTTGTGGCAGAAAAAACCTACCAAGTGAAAGAGATTTGACATTCCAATATATATTACAAGAAAAAATAAAAATCTATAACCTTGGACTTTTCTTTCGCCGCCCACCACCACAACACAAAAAAACAAAGAAAATAACTTATTCTTCCCCACCATTATATAATCATTATCAAAGTTTTTTTTTATCTTAATTATATTTATTTATTTATTTTTTCATCTTTTCACTAACCCATTTTGTCTTTTTAAATACCCTAGTAAAAAACAATTCTTCAAACTCTTTTGTTCTTCCTTTTTTTTCTTAATAGAAAAATATATATTTATGCAAAACTAAACCTAGCTATATTAATATTATATATCTATATATATATATTGCTACCTTAACTTTCTGACATTTGAATCTTTATTTTCACTTCATCATCATTATCTTTATATATAAAGGCTTGGAGTTTGGATATATAAGCAGAGAGAATATGATACAAGAAGATCAAGGACAGTGTTCATCTCAAACAATGAACAACTTTGAAACCTATCAACAAGAACAGTTTCTTCTCCATCAACAACAAATCATGCGGCAACAAAACAGTTTCTCTTTCCCCGGTGGTGATCATCATCAAGTTGTTTCACCAATCTTGCAACAACAACCATGGTCATCCATGTCTATGCAACAATTCCATGTCCATGACCCTTTTGTTCTTCCTCAACAGCAAACTTCATCATCACCTTACGCAAGTTTGTTCAACAGATCTTCTAGGGTTCCGTCTCTTCAGTTTGCATATGATCATCATCATCACGGAGGGTCTGAGCAGCATCTTAGGATCATATCTGATACACTTCACCAACATGGATCCTTTGGTGGACTTCAATATCAAGGTGGCGATGTTGGAAAGATGAGTGCTCAAGAAATCATGGAGGCTAAAGCTCTTGCAGCTTCCAAGAGTCATAGTGAAGCTGAGAGAAGACGCAGAGAGAGAATCAATAATCATCTTGCTAAGCTTCGTAGCTTGTTACCAAGCACAACCAAAGTAAGTCAACATTTTAATTTAGTAAAGTAATGAAAAATGCAAACAAAAACCAAAAACCAAAGATCTCAATTCTCAACTCAACTCAACCACATATAATAATAGTGAGTTGTGAGTGTTTTTTTCTTAGTGGTCTTTTGTAGAATATTCTATATTTCTGTTACTTTAGTGCTATAAACAACAAAATCAAAATCGAATATAACCTTTTAGAAAATAAGGTGCAAAGAATGTTATAGTTTTGTTTGCTTTTGTTAACAACCTTTTGGTTTGTTTTGTTTACATTTTATTTTTTATAAAACTTTATTAATTATGTAACTATATGAATATGTGTTGTTTGGTTGGGAATGTCTCTCTTTCTCTTTCTCTTTCTCTCTCTATATCTATAACTATATCTATATATCTATCTATGATGTGTGGTATAGTTCCGAGGAAGAAACTAGGTGGCTAAAGAAAAAGTAATAAAAAGTGTAATACTAGTGTTAATGTCGCTTGGTATGATAAAGAGGAACCAAAACAGCATGCAGATGAAAAGCTTCGCATGAAAATATACTTGTCTTTGCCGGATAATATGTTGATCAGTCAAATAAAGTCACAGACAAAAACTAACACCTTTGTCAGTCACACACTATATACCTATTTTTCATCTCTAAATTATCATAACCTCTATAAAATGATTATTAATAATAATAATATTTTTTGTATTTTCAATATGAATTTTTTTTTGTTAGACGGATAAAGCATCATTGCTAGCGGAAGTGATACAGCATGTGAAAGAGTTGAAGCGTCAAACATCATTAATATCAGAAACATGTCAAGTTCCAACGGAATGTGATGAGTTAACAGTAGATGCTGCAAATGATGATGATGAGGAGGAATATGGAAATGGAAATGGAAACAAGTTTATTCTTAAAGCTTCACTTTGTTGTGATGATAGGTCAGATCTTTTGCCTGAATTAATCAAGACATTGAAAGCATTAAGGTTAAGAACAGTTAAAGCTGATATAACAACACTTGGAGGACGTGTGAAGAATGTTTTGTTCATTGCTGGTGAAGATCATGATCATGAATATTGCATTAGTTCTATACAAGAAGCACTTAAAGCTGTGATGGAGAAGAGTGTTGGAGATGAATCTGCTTCTGGAAATGTTAAGAGACAAAGGACTAATATAATATCTATATCTAATTAGAGTTATTGGATTAAGATTTAAGGTCTTTATAAATTTTATCTAATTAAAGACCTATTATTAATTATATAGTATTAATTATATTAGTATATGGTATTTGGTTATTTTATATTTTTGATTTGGGGGTGGTTTTTTCTTTTCTTTTTTTCTTTCTTTTTTCATGGTGTGTTGTAACATGTTGTTTTGTATATGGTCTCTTTGAACAATATGATGATGAGATGAGACAATGAGGTAATGATAATTTGGTGGTTTTTCTTTTTACATGTGTGGTTGTTGTTATTGTTTGCTTGAATCCATTTAGCAGAAATGAAGTAATGTTTTTGTTTAATTTGTTTTGAAGTTTCTCTCTTTATGTGGCAGCACAAGTGCATGACATTATGATTGAAACCATGGGAAGGGGATAAAGTAATGGCATGCTTTCAGGTGAGTGTATACCACGCACTTCACTTCACAAGTTTTTTTTTTTCCTTTAAATGGTTCATAAGGGTTTGTTTGCAAGATAGATTTTTGAGGGAATGCTTTAGAAGGGTGAGTATATATTTTAATATAGTATATGGTATTTTTAAAAATGAAGAAAAGTATATATATATATATATATATATATATATATATATATATATATATATATATATATATATATATATATATATATATATATATATATATATATATATATATATATATATATATATATATATATATATATATATATATATATATATATATATATATATATATATATATATATATATATATATATATATATATATATATATATATATATATATATGTAGTTTTTTAAAAACTTCCTTATCTAATATATTTTAAAAATGAACTTGCAAACAAACCCTAAAAGACTTTAAATAAGTAGTAAAAATATAGTGATATTCATAATTAGAATGATGAAGGAGTAAAATTGGTACTAATTTAGGTTCATATACAAATTATGAATTTGTTGCTAAGGTGATGGATAACCTTATTTCAATGTGAATTAGTGAGTCTATCTTAGTGGATAGGGTGGTTATAGTTAATGAGTTGGTGGGCTTGACAAATAAAATATAAAAAGTTTGTCTTATTTTTAAGGTGTACTTTGAAAAACTTATAATTTAGTTAGTTGAAGTTTTATAGATTATATGTTTATTAAGTTTTGATTTAATTTAAAGTGGATCTTGGATACATACTTGTGTGTTTGTTGGAAACCTTGTGAAAATTAGGTTTGTACAATCGACAAACTCAAATATATTCTTCATTTTCTGAGAAAGATATATTAATTTGAACCAAATAATAAGAAGGTTTGTCAAGAAGAAAACAAAATCACATAATGAGAAAAAAGGGATTGGAAAAGAAGGAATTGAAAATTTGAAGGTATTTTTCTAAGACATAGAGAAATTAATATGAATCATCTTTTTTCTTTTATTGAATCAAAAATCACTTTAATACAATACAAAGGAACTTTTCTTTTATAATTAAGAGAAAACTTTTAGAAAGAAAAACAATTAACACACCAACATGCACAACAACTTTAAAAAAATGAAAAACTAATTAATTGATTAGTAATCAAAATATAATAGTAAGGTAAATCTAGTGATCGATTAACAAAATAATCTCCAAACAAGAACTAAGTAATAAGTCTAAATTTAATCTCAAACACAATCTAAAGCTATCATCATTTCTGACCATAGTTTTTAAAGCGCAAAATTGTGTTCGATTTAAGAATATTGTTTGTGTGATGTGTGTGGGACAGGTAGAGTCGGTTGATTATCTCTATGTTTTATGTGAGGTTGCTTCGACGATCTGGTATAGAGCTTTTAGGTGGGTAGATCGGTCGGGGCCTCTACCGCTGATTCTAGGGGTGTTTTAGCTGTTTTGGGGTTTAGGTCATGGAAAACAAGTGAATTGTTTTACCTAAATAACCTACTTTTTAAAAAAAATCCTAAAATACTCCACATTTCAAAATATTTCTCAAACTACCTCAGTTTAGGTTTCTGATTACATGTAGGCGTCATAACAATTGGCGATCCTTTGTTAGGGCATGAGTGGAATCGCCAATTGGATTAGAGACACCTCATGAAGTCTCCAATTCAATTGGCGACTGAGTATTATACACATAGGGGAGTCGCCAATTCATTTGGAGATTGCTTAGAAACTGAACTTTTTTCTATAAATAGAGGTGTTCTGATCATTTAGTTCTACAACTCATCTCATATCTTTGTTCATTTAGTTCCATAGCTCATCTCATATCTTTGTTCCACTGATAACATGTATCGTCGCTGATGGGGAAAGTTGTCTATTCGAGAGAGAAGCCTCTGATGGACATGTTGTTTTGAGACATACAAAATTTCAATCAACTTAAGAGGGAGTTGAATCGGTGGTTAGAAGGAGACATTGATGAAGGGGAAAAAATTCTAAGTATCGAGAGACTTGATCGGCTGCGTGGATGGGTTCGTGTTAAGACTGACTAGGATGCGAGAGAAGTCATGTTTGGACCTAATGAAATTAGTTTGATTGTTGTAATCAGTTAGGAATGTTTTATGTTTCTTTTCTGTTAGTTGTTTTATGTGTCGTATGTGTTGTGTGTTCTTAGTTCGCGATATGTGTTGTTTGTTGTTAACATTGTTGTAACAAAGACTCATCAATATATGAAAATATTAGGTTACAACAATTGTAACGATAAGCTAAATCATGATGCAGATGTTGCTATGACATTGGGACAATTTTTTTGACTGTGTTCGGGCTGACGATATATACTGCATAATCTTATCATTTTATCAGTTGTATCCATTTCGGTTATTATATATTTGCTGTTTGGGCGTCCCTTTTTCTTTATTTGCGTCTCATCGTTGTACCAAACTATGTCACCTTGGTATGGAGGTCAATATTCCTCCATTGGTAGAACTATGAAGCCTTCGTTGTAGACATTCATAATAATAATCACCTTGTAAACATTAGATAGATGGCTATAAGCATCCTGACGAGCATGTGCGCATGCCGCAATGACATGTGAGTAAGGTACATGGAATGTCTAGTACTTGACACAGTCACACCAACATCTATTTAGTCTGACAGCATAGGATAAATTGGGTCTACCATCATTATGGTCCATTGTTTCTTGTACACTGAATGTTTGCCTATGACGGTCAAAGACTGTAACTGCATATGTGTTGCTTTGATAATATCCGCTTTCATCAATTTTATAATGCTTTCACTAAATACTTGACCCGACATTAACACTACACTCCATCTTTCGCCTCTTGTTGCAAAAAGTGATGCCAACCTATAATAGGTTGATCTCACCAAAGCGGTGATTGAAAGGTTTCTAATTCCTTTGAATACCCCGTTCATGGACTCCACAAGGTTTGTCGTCATGTGGCCCCAACGAGATCCACCATCAAAAGCCCTTTTCCACTTTTCTAGTGGAATGTTATCCAACCAGCTTCCTGCATCTCCATTTGAAATCCTAATTTCGTTAAGGTAGTATTTAAATGTTGGTTGAGTTAGAACATACCCGACATTCACAACTTTTTTGTGAAGGTTCATGTCTTTGATTGCCCGCATAAAGTTTTGTGTAATATGTCTAATGCAATATACATGGTCGAAGGAGGATTATGACACCCGTTATCATGGTTATTGTAAACACTCTCTATAGCAGCATGCCTATTTGAAATCAATCAGAGATTGACTTGTGGAGCGACATGTGTTCTGAGATTCTTAAGGAAGAAACTCCAAGAAGAAGCGGTCTCACCTTCAACCAGAGCAAAGGCTATGGGAAATACATTATTGATGCGGTCTTATGCAACAGTCATAAGCAAGGTGCCCTTGTATTTTCCGTAGAGTCATGTTCCATCAATTTGAATAATAGGTTTGCAGAATGCAAAACCTCTTATGCGTGGTTGAAATGACCAAAAGAGACGGTGAAAGATGACATTTCCATCAACAATAGTTTCATCTGGCATACATGTCGATATTGTCTGCATGATTACAACAGTTCTCGGTGTGTATGTCTTTAGCGCTACCAAAAATCGCAGTAATTCCTTATACGAATCCTCCCAGTTGCCAAATCCTTGTTCAACAACCTTTGTCCTTGCAATCCATGCCTTCTTGTACGATGGAGTATAATTATACCGCGTCACAATATGAGAGATTATTATACTCACCTTCACTGATGGATTCTTGTTAACAAGCGGCAAAATGTCTTGACATATCAATTATGCATTTAGCTTTCGGTGATCCTGAACAATATTTATGGCAGTACAATTGTGAGGTGGCTCTATGGAAGCTATCTTCCAAGAATCGCTTCTCTTTCTGTAAGACGCAGCAAGCCGGAACTTGCAAATTAAGTGGATTACGGCAAATAATGACATACCTTCTTGAATCAGCTCGGTGTACATTGAAATCAACAGAGTTGTCCATGCGATATTTTTTAATGGCTCGTTATGTGGGTGTCAGGATGTTATACATGCATGAAACATGATCAACTACATACACAACTAGGTTACAGGTTCCCATGTGTCTCCAATTGGACTGGAGACCCTTTGTAATGGATGAGTACAGTCGTCAATTCATGTGGCGACATGGTACAATGTGTAATGTTCAGCGTCTAACTCACCAGGAAGGCCGTGTTACTCACAACCTCATACCCAACAAAATTACCAACCCACTAACCATCCAAACATGTCAAACACCCAACCACAATACCAATAGTGTCCCCTATACCATCTCCATCACACTAACTACTATCAAGAAACACAATATGGCTATGCCCCAACACAACATCAAGATATAGCCAAAATGAGGGTACATCATACCATAGCCATAACGCTCAAACATTTTTCCATAGCCTACACACTCAAACATCCCAACAACCTTATGACTTTCAAACACCACTACCATTTCAACCTTTCACCAACGAATCCTTCACACCCATGCCCCCCTTCAATCGTCCAGGCCGCACACCCATGACCCCTTCATCACATCCGAGCTACTCTGGCATGGGTCGCACACTC